TTGCACTGATAATTAACATGTGCCTACTCAGCTGGTTATGCAAAGGAATAATCATAATACTTACCCGTTCAGGGACCTGAGAACTAAGTAGTGAAGCAATAACCCCAGTGATCTTTTCTATCCAATCCATTTGATCGAGTGCACTCTCAGCCTGCACTGACAAACACAAGTAAACACTAAGTGAAAACTATTCACATTCAGGCAAAATTGCAACATGCAAACATTTTAAAGCTCTAAAGCAGCAACAAATCAAACCTGCAACGTGTAGTTTTTTGTAGGTGAAATGATCCTAAAGCAAAACCTCAGATCTGATTGATCGGCATCGACTTTAATTGTTGAGGTAAGCAAGTTCACTGTATGACGGGCTACAGACTTCTCATCATGTACTCCGCCTCCGCCATGACTATTCGAAGAAAGCCACCTACTAAGTAGTCCAGACCCAAGCTCTGAGCTATTTCTCTGTCCAGAAAGCTGGCTGCCAGACCCCTAAACATCAAATCTATTAATTCAGAATGTGCAAAGAATAGGCCATCAAGATACAATACCGTTTGGATGATTATAATACAAAACTCACAGATGGTTTGCTACACTGTTTGCGGTAGTAATACAGCATTCCCCGGCTGTCAAGAACAAAGAACCGTCTTTTCCAGTCTCCTCTCAGGTTCGAAGACCGCTTTGAGAGATAACCTTGCCGTATTGTTTGCACCTGAAGCACCAAGAATTGTTTATAGCACTCTTTCGAAGATGTCTCATTCATATGTAAAAAGGGCATTGATTCAACCTTTCCCCTTGCGGCAGATTGCATTACGGCGTCTATCATTTTGTGAGAGCTTCTACCAATCGCTTGTATCCCATCTCCATTTGGGGATCCATTAGAACCATTTGAACCATGCCTGCTCTCTCGATCAACCTGTCTTTTGTACTCCTGCATCTTTTCATTAAGTGCTGCTTGTTCGTAATTTGATCTTTCTCTGGATTGTTGTGCATAGGTCAAGACCTGCAAAAAAAAGAGTTGAGGTAAAAAATATTGTCCTAAAAGCAACTATCTAAGCGTTCTCAACACAAGTGAAGACTCATATATAGCTTAGAAGAGAAATCTTAAACCTCAAATATTTAGGGATCTATTACTTGAACAAAAGGAATCTAAAATATAACTGACCTGACTGATATATGGCTCCATCTGATGCAGTAATTCGTAACCCTGAAAGCAGCCACATTCAGATTTGACATAAACCTTTTCAGACTATTTTAAATTTCTGAAGAAGCTAACAAATTTACCTGTTTGAAGTACCGAAGATGTGCATCCATCGTTCCGCTGACTGCTTCCAAAAATTCAAACCTTTTCTTAGCTTCAACATTAGAAAGAGCAGTCACCTGAGCATAAATGAGGGAAACCAAAGAAAGAAAAGTTTAGTCCAACAATAGCATGAATGTGACAGAAGGTATTTAAAATTAATAATCAAGATCAAACAAAAGAAAATTACAAGGTTGAACCGAGCTTGCTCAAACATAGACCTCGAAGTGTGAAGTTCCTGAAAGAGTCAGAATAATACAATATGTTAGTTATAACAAAGCGAAACAATAACTACATGGTATTCAATAGTTATGTAACATACCTGTTCTAAAGCAGCAGCAACGTCACTTTTTGTACCTTTCCTCAAAGATAAAAACTTCTCACGGGCCTAAAGCAAAACATGAAGTAAATTAGTCTTTCCGAACTATCTTTTGTAGTGCAAACCATGTCAACAAAGTGGAGGAAACGGAAACAACACTGAACAAAGGGATACCTGATCGTAGGTAAGGCTAGCCTTGTCAAAGCGCTTCCGAGCTTCCTGTGGCAAAAATGGTCTCTCAGGATTCCATATTCAAATACAACTTTGTCAAGCTAGCCTTGCACTTGGACATATGGCAGCATGGTTTTACTCAAAAATTGAAGAAAGCAAGCAGCTTGTACCTTAACCTCATGCAAGTCCATATTGGCAAACTGAAGTAATCTGTCATTTAGTATATGTTCCACCTGACAAATGAGAACTCATTAAATCCTTAACTGAAAAACTTGAACTGATCTGGATCAAAATGAAAACCTGAACTGATCTGGGAAATCTATACAATGTCTTAAGGTGAAGCAATCTATATAGAGGCTGGGGGTGGGGAAAATAAACAGAGAACGTCAACAGTAACAAAGTAGCATACCTGTGAACGAAGAACTTCCTTATAAGTCCCAATTTCCCTCAACGCAATTGTAAATTTCGTCATGACAGGTCCTGGTACAGAAAGTTCGAGTCTATCAGCATCTTTGATGACACTATATGCCACATAGAGTTTTTCTATAGGCTACGTGAAGTCGGTCATACCTCCAAAAGCCACACTTATTGGATCGTTATGGCCTCCACCAAACATTTCAAGTGCACTTGCGAAAGCAATGTCCCCATCATATGCCTCCCCTAGCCCTTCACTGAAAATAAAGGACAAAACTATCTCTGTTAAGAGGTAAGTTCTCATGTCTCTTTGAGCCAGAAGAACTCTGAATACACAGCTACAATCCTAAGAGCTAGTGAAAAGTTAGAGCATACGTGTATTTCCGGCATCCTTTGTAAAACTTGAGACTTCGCTCCCGCAATACTTCTGCACTCTCCTCCATGCTTTGCAACTGTTTCAGAATAAGATATCAATATAAACAAACGACTGGAGGAAATAGCAAGACACAATCACAACGGACAACCCAAAAAATGAAGTGATTTAGGCACTCCATATAGCAGTAATGGAATCATCAACTACAGGAAAACAGAACAGGTTTTGGACAGAATTTTAGCTACACTAAGAACTTCTTTTACGTTTAGTTGCAATTTTTCTACTGCAACTTACAGCAGTGAGCATGAGGATACTAGCAAAGTGGAAACAAAGTGTATCCCAAGACACAGAGCAGCTTTGTCAGAGTCAGAGACCCCAAACATATAAACTGGATCATTAGTCATTTCAAATTTCATCGAGCGACATGACTTATTTACTAGGTAAAGCGCGAAATAGTCCGTCCAGACAACTGAAAGTTTAACCAATTTCTGAGTGACACACTAATTGGAAGCTACCGTTGAAGCTCCAATCTAGTTTCGGGGTATAAATGTCGGTGAACACTCAAAATTCCAGACATAAGCACATCCTAATGGCTCCAAACTTTCTATCTGTTCACAACATGAATATCAAATCTTGCCTAATATGATACAAAATTAAACCTAAGACGCTAAAAGACTCGACACATGAGGACAAACGTAGAAGGAACCAAGATATGTAGGAACAAACCTGTTTGCGGAACATGGGAGAGTCATCAAGCTTGGTGAAATGCATTTTTGAGCAAATGTTTACTTCACCAAACTCCAATTAACATCACACGGAAATAGAACAGGCCTAAAAGCTAGCACCAATAATTCTCACACGGACTCCATCAAAAAAAGCACAGACAAAAAGAAAAAAAGAAAGTGAGATCTTCTTCCTCCCACTTAAAAACCAAAACCCGATGATCTTCCCAAGTATCGAGCTTAGCGTAATTCGAGCTGGTTTTTTTTTCTCACGAAACCCTCAGTGAAATCGAGAGAGGAAAACAAGAAAACAGTGGGGGGTGTTTTTAGATGAAGTGTCTCGGGAGAAGAGAAAGAAAAGAAAAACAATGAAAAAAAAACTTCACCGTCTTCTTTAGATTTTACCACAAAAGGCGGCGAAATATGACGTTTATTTACCGCCGGAGATCGAGAAGGTTTGGTAGGACACGTCGTCGTTTCAAGGTGGCTCTTAAGTGTAAATTAGAAGAGAGGGTAGGGAATGGAGGGAGGGAGATGACTGACTGTACTTTTTCTTTTTTTCTGTAACAGTGGTCATCTGAGAAAACAAGGTCTCAGGCTAAAATCCCGTAACTCACGCGCTCTTCGGCGCGTAAACTGTTGAGAAGCGGGAAATAAAGAGGCGCGTGTAGTGGACGCGGAGCTTATTTGGAGGACTTTAGGGGAGAGGTGGTGGGACCCATCCTCTGGTTGCTTCTCCATTACCTTTTGTTCCGGAGAGACAGAGAGGTCAGTGGGGTATAAATGATTAAAATTTATCTTTTATTTTCTTAAAAATTGAACTCTTGAGGGTGGAAAATTTTGTAAAAGCAAAAAGCAAAGTTGGATAATTTGGAACAAAATGGACACCAAGACCTTACTTTTATGCAGACTTTACAGTCGCATTTGAGATTCAAAATCCCATTTATAATGAACATGTATGATCTCCTGTCTAGCTGCTAGAAGATTGTTTAATCATTACTGTAATGTATCTTTTAGCTAATATCCTGTTATATACTTATATGTAGCTCAAAAGATACATCACCTAGATAAACTGTTCACAAATTTGAGAAAAACCGGTGCTCTAAGACCAGATAAGCATCTAGATTATTAATTAATAGTTGATTAACTAAGAAAATATTCCTTACAAAGATTGTCTACTTGTCCTAACCTAATCTATCTGGTCTTTCTAATCAGACTACCCCATCACGTATCGTATGTTTCCATCTCATATGATATCCTACCTATGACTTAGATATCTCTTTCCCTTTTTAGCTGTCCCCTCTTTCATTTCCTTACACAATCAAAAGGCCTACGGGAGGACTACGGGGTCGTAAAATCTAGGATTTTCACTTTTTAATATATTTTTACACACCAAAGAAAAACCAAAGGGTCGTAAAAAAAAAAAAAAAAACCAAAGTGAAATCTAAGCTAGGCCGATGATAGGCCCAAAGTAGGAAATGCTATTGTGAGGCCCAATTTTTAAAAATGCCCATTAAGATTTTTAAATTTATTTTTATCTGATCAATAAATTAAAAGGATCACGCGCAAGGCGGTTTACCGGTTTTACTCTCTTCATCGCCGTCACCGAATTCCTGACAAAAAATTGGAAATTTGGGAACCGACTGATTTGTTTGATTTAAATCCCCTCAATCGAAGAAGGAACAAGGATCGTCTAATTTGCTCCCAATGGCATCGTCTGGATCGGCCGACGAAGATTTCCAGTCTCGCGTTGCGAGGATCTTCGGATCTCTCGCCTTCCCTCGCTCCTCGTCTTCTAGCTTATCCACGGCTTCTGCTCCGGCGCCGCGGCAGCAATCGGGCTCGGTATGGTCTATCTCCGATAAAGAGGTGGAGAAACGTGAGTGGAAGAGGGAGCAGCTCGCTTCGTACGATAGGGACGAGATGCCTTGTGCGTCATCGTTCAACGAGCTGCTGCAGCAGAGGATGTCGAGCACTGCTCGGAAGCCGTTAGAGGGAGAGGATGATGTAGATGAAGTTGCTAACGAGGATTTTGATGATGAATGGGGCATTAGAGCCTCCATGGGCCTTGATCGCACTCTCGATGACGAGGTAAATCAGTTTTCCTTCAAATTTTTTTTTGGTTTGTTAACGATTAGGAAACGCCTTACTCGTATCAACAAATTGAATATTAGGGAACATTGTTGGTCCTTGTCTCTTGGATTTACTAGTTTCATATCATAATCCTGAGCCTAACAATCGGAAGAGCATTGACATTGATTATTACAAACATACTGGTGTTGAATGTGCCTGTGAAGATTCTTGAATTGAATTTTTCTTGTTGACAATGTATTAGGCTTATATGGAGCACATAACGTAATTGTTGCTTTGCCTTGTTCTTTTGGTTAATGGCACATTGGTGGTACGCATTTTCTTTTATCAACAATCCATTGAAATTTTTTACTCTTAACGCAGGAAGAAGAAGATGAGTTTGATAAAGTGGCACTAGGAGAAGAGTGTGGCGGTGAAGGCTTGCCTACGAAAGATGCGCTTTCTGAATCGTCTGGTGGACGGGTTCGTGATCCTCGTGCTAACCATATAGCTGCAAAAATTAGGCTGAAGGAAGACGAGATCGAGGCCAGCAAAATTAGCGCCTCTAAAAGCAAAGCGCCGCACTCAGAAGAATCGTCCAAAGCTGTGCCACCAAAACCTATACTCAAAAGGAAAGAGAATAGTTCAGATTCAGAAGCAGCAACAAGGACGAGCAAGCGAGTCAGGTTTGATGTTGAAACATCAAAGAAGCCTGAAGATACTTGTTCAGCTTCTGCCTCCGTGAAAATCGTATTGCAGCAGCAGGGTAAAAGTGGTGCTCGCGTACCAGATTACTTGGTGAATCCTTCGAAGTACACATGTTACAGCTTTGATCCATCTAGCGAATCGAAAGAGAAGTCCCCAACGCTAGAGGACATGGACATTCCCAAGGCTGTTGAAGGATTAGAAACTTCAGAGTCGGAATCATTCAAGAAAGTCTCCTTTATCCCGCAGAAGAAGACCAAGGACGACGTGAGAGAAGACAGTAGTAACTGTAGCGAGACAAAGCCTATTGCAGCTGCGCTGGTGGCAGAGGATGAGATAGCAAGTGCAACAGGAGATGAGGATACTGAAATAGGAGAAGAATCAGATAGCTGCACCAGTATCAAAATTAAGGGTCGTCAATATCGTGCCAAACGAAGTTTAGAAGAAACAGATGTCTGAATCTTTCGGTTTGGTAAATGTATGCGCCCTTGGTAAATGAGATGGAGCTATGATAAAGTTGGTTGAAAACGCTACACGGAGATGAAGTTGGGATCCATGAGAGATGCAAACACGTAGCATCATTTATCAGCATATGTAAGATAGTTTTAATTCCTCGACTTTTTCTTACCCAATTTAGAAGAAACTTGCATATTGAAAAAAGTATGGTAACATATTAAGAAAAGACTCGAAACAGTTTGCTTTTGAGACTAGTTGATAGAATATGATTTGCCTTTGAGACTGGTAGATAGAAACACATTTGGGATAAGGTTTTATCGACCGTATTTAACACATCCTGGCGTCAATAGATAATACTAACATATTCTAAAATTTTGGGCGAGGATGAGAGCATTTGACAGAAGAAATGGAATAAGCGGAGCATACTAGTAATTAGGCGCATGTAAAGAAAGATGGTGATACCAGCAGATGTTTCTAATATTTTGCAAGAGCAGAATCTCCAAGTTTGGAAATCTTACAAGTCAAAGAATATATGTTCAGACACATTAGAAAAAGTCCGTTGACGCTGACAGAGAAGGTACCCCATGATTCTTATTTTCTTTCAATTCGTGTAAACGAGTTTCAATCTTTTGACTACTGATAAACCAAATCATGGGTTCCATTTCATTGCTTCAAAGATTTTGCTTAAAAACGAGTACTCTTTTGTTGAGCCTTAAATTTGGCTTTCACAAGCTATGTCTTATTTCAGTACTTTGTGAAACTTGCTTCACAGATAACCCGATCGCAAATATTTTAGTTTTTTTATTTAACCCAATTTTTGTTTAGTTTAGTCTGGTGACTTGACTTGGGTCAGGTTGTGCATATTAAACTAATTCAAGTTGAAGATGAGACGACTTGAAGTTCATGAATTATATAAAAATATTGTTGCTAATAAAGAAATGACTTCCAACGCTGAAATTTACTTGGAACTTCGTTTCTTTTTCCATAGATTTTCTGGGAAATATTCCTCCAGGTCCCCACTTCAAAGTCTACTAACTTAATTTGTTTAGTTGGAAGGTCATAAAATAATAATTTGATTTATTTCCCTTTTTAGGGGATAAAACACATTTGTCTTTACTTAAGATAAAATTAACAATGCTTGAGTTGTTTGGTTAAAACATAGTACAGTTGGGTTGGATAAGACTACGATTGGAGCTTCAGGGAGAGCCATATAATATTAACGATTAGCATTGTATCGTACTGTGCTGCTATCTTGTGTTATATATTGATTTTTATTTTTACTCTTGTTTTGGTGTAATGTATTTTCACAAAATTTCAAAAGGAACGGAGTCTATTGTAATCGAGTGGATCAATCTGGAGAGGAGAGAAGAGACTCCTGCAGGTGAGTTTAAAGTCTCTTGCGTTCAATTTCGTTTTCTTGTACTTCCCAAAGACTATTTGGTTTTCCATTAAAAACTACTAGTTTATTGAAACTTCGTTTGTAATTTCAAGTCTCCATCACTTTCATCACGACTAACAAGAGTCGCAACTAAATAATTTTAAATTGGTTGACCAAAGAAGAAGAAAAGGTTTTTATATGGAACCCGTTTCTCTCAATGTAGAGTCTTTGTGGTCTTTGAGTATGAATATATGTTTTCTTGCGCAAAAGTTTTAACATAATTTGGAAGAACAATTCCTGCAGAAATTTCTTGTAGATTTCCCTTTTATTTCCCCGCGTATTCATGACTCTATAGATTCTCATGAATCAGATACCAACAAGAAAAACGGTAGTTGGAGTGTGTTGTGTTGACTAATGAATAATAACCAGCGGCATGATAAATGATAATATGACTACATATTTCCAAGTCTTACAAACGCTGAAATATGTCCAACATCAACAAAAAAAAATCTCATTAACATCTTTGGGAAAACCTATTAGACCTAAATAATGGAATAATACTATACAAACATGAAAATATGAAAAAGAGTAATACCTTATATTTTCTACAAACCTGATATTAAGCCTAAGTGTCTTTAGGAATCCATGAATTCGTTTTTTCTTTTTGTTAAAGGAATCCATGAATTAGTTGTACTACTTTTTAGTTAGTTAAACAACGTTTTCCATGAATTCTTGTATGCCTAAAATATTAATATTATTTATTAATTTGGTTGAAAAAGAAATGAAAAAAAAAATATCAGTTTTATTAACGTGCTCTCACAAATTAACACTTTTTTTTTTTAATTTGGCTCTATACCATTGTCTTTGGAACCCCACGAATCAGTTCGTAGTCATACCATTCTCTCTTTCTTCTGACAAAAACTTCTTCTCGGAGGCCTAATATTATTTAAATACAAAAATTCCTCTCATATACTTATTGAAAAATGGAAGCATAAATTGAAGCATGTTGTGTAACCGTTCACACTCTAAGGTGTGAGTCGTATAATTAACTTGTATACATCGCTTGAGACTATTCTGCAGTTAAAATATCAACTAAACATTGACCGAGACCCACCAACTGCTAAACCGATTTCTTCTTTTTTTCCTTTTATCAAAAACAAGCATTACGACATCGATTTAATTATAGTTTTTTCTTGCTATATATAGAGCCAAGTGTTCACTCTGTTTCCATATGAATTAGAGAGAATCAGAGAGTATCAAAGAGAATAAAAGAGAACCAAACAAACATGAAGCCAATCTCCGATATCAACGAAGGGTTTGAGAAGAAACTGGAGGATTTAACTCTCAACGTGAAGGAAATACAAGAAAACTTGTTGGAGGAGATACTCACACTCAACTCAAAAACAGAGTACCTCCAACGTTATCACATCGAGAAGTTTGACAAAGAGCTCTTCAAGAAAAATGTACCGGTTGTGACCTATGAAGATATGAAGCCTTACATCGATCGTGTCGTTGATGGAGAATCATCAGACATCATTTCGGCCCGACCTATTACTGGTTTCTTGCTAAGGTACATATACAAAAAGCTCTCTCTAATCTCTATATAGTTTCTTTCTTGTTATTAAAAAAACAAAAAACTAAATTCTTGAATTGTTTTTGCAGCTCGGGAACTTCAGGTGGAGCACAAAAGATGATGCCATGGAACACCAAGTACTTGGACAATTTAACATTCATCTACGATCTTCGTATGCATGTTATAACCAAGTAAGTGCCATATTATTTTTTATATATTTTAGAAAGACTAATATTTGGATCAGACCCATGATGGTAACAAAATATCTGCTCTTTGTTCTGTTTAGGTATTTGAAAGGTATGGAGGAAGGAAAAGGGATGATGTTTCTCTTCACTAAACAAGAACTCATTACTCCTTCTGGCTTGCCTGCTCGAGTCGCAACAAGCAGCTATTTCAAGAGCGACTACTTCAAGAACCGACCATCAAACTGGTATTACTCATATACAAGCCCTGATGAAGTCATGTTATGCCCTAACAATACAGAGAGCCTCTACTGCCACTTGCTATGTGGCTTAGTCGAAAGAGACGAGGTTGTGAGAACCGGTTCCATCTTCGCTTCAGTCATGGTCCGAGCCATCAAGTTTCTTGAAAACTCTTGGGAAGAGTTGTGTTCAAACATCCGATCAGGCCATCTAAGCAACTGGGTCACAGACCTCGGTTGTCGTAGCTCGGTGTCCTTGGTCCTTGGAGGGCCACGTCCTGACTTAGCAGACACGATCGAAACCATATGCAACCAGAAGTCTTGGAAAGGTATAGTCCAAAAACTCTGGCCAAACGCTAGATACATCGAAACCACTATCACTGGTTCCATGGGACAGTATGTTCCCATGTTGAACTACTACTGCAACGACTTGCCTCTTGTCTCGACAACTTACGGTTCTTCGGAGACAACGTTCGGGATCAACCTAGATCCTCTGTGCAAACCTGAAGATGTTTCTTACGCTTTCATGCCAAACATGTCTTACTTTGAGTTCATAACAATGGATGGAGACAACCGCGATGTGGTCGACCTTCAAGATGTCAAACTTGGATGCACTTACGAACCCGTGGTCACAAATTTCGCCGGTGAGTTAAAAAAAAAAAAAAAAAAAAAAAAAAAACTATGACTTGAACAAAAAGCAATCTTTTTTCTTACATGGTTTAACTAATTTAATGTCTTTTTTGTTCTTTTTCAGGCTTGTATAGAATGAGAGTTGGAGATATTCTGTTGGTGACTGGTTTCTACAACAACGCGCCTGAGTTTAAGTTTGTGAGAAGAGAGAACGTAGTTTTAAGCATAGACTCCGACAAAACCAACGAGGAAGATCTGTTTAAGGCGGTGAGTGAAGCGAAGCTCGTTCTCGACTCATCAGATGTCATTCTTGTAGACTTCAGTAGCTATGCTGACACGTCAACGTTCCCGGGTCATTACGTGATTTATTTGGAAGTGAAGGGCAAAGAGGGAGAGAAGAAGAAGAGGAACAAGAATTACGTGGAGCTGAATGAAGAGGCATTCTCCAAGTGCTGTTTAGCTATGGAGGAGTCGCTTGACAATGTTTACAAGAGATGTAGGTTCAAAGATGGGTCTATTGGGCCTCTGGAGATAAGAGTTGTGCGTCAAGGCACGTTTGACTCTCTCATGGACTTTTTCATCTCACAAGGTGCTTCCATTGGTCAATACAAGACTCCTAGATGCATTAAATCAGGACAGGCATTAGAGTTTATGGAGACTTGTGTCGTTGCCAGATTCTTCAATAACTGATGTTGTTCTTCCTTTGGATTAATCTTGGGAATCGATAGATATGGTTTGAAATAAAAATATATATATGTGCGGCTATGCTGTGTAACACTTCGTGTGAATGTGGATATTTTGTAATTTATTTTGGACAAGACCTTGTTTTATTTTCCTCTGTAAAATAGAACACATCATTGACAATTTCCAGGAACAGAGCATTTTCATGAAACGGAATGGGAAGATGAAAATGGGCTTTTAGAGTAACGTGGGCTTAGAAAGCCGAAAGAGCTTTGAAATGAAACCAAACCCTTCTTTTGTCAATTCACACCACACTGAGGCCTGAGCACAATCCGTACTAGAATTTCGAAGCACACAATCCGAATTTTTGTTTCCACCCTGATTGTGGAGGAAGAAGAAGCGGATTTTGAGATTTCGACTTGGATGGGTCCCATGTAAATTTTTATTATATTTTCTCTACTTTGTCTTTTTTGGATTCACGAATCACGCCGCTTTTGATTTTTTTTTTTTCACGTTTCTTTGCCCTTACTTATTTCTCTTTTTTACTTTGTTCATAATCCCCTGCCTAAGCATGCTTCAACCTTCCAAATTTCGTTTCGTAGAGTAACTCTTTAACGCCACCAAGGTAACCAAATAAATAACTCTGATATCTTTGTCGATTCTCGTAAAGAAAGAAATTAAAAGTTTCAACAAAATAACAAATATTTGGGTCGAATGTACAAAAAAGTAGTAATCAGCATCAAGAAGAACCTGTTTAGGAAAAAGAAACCTATCATACACATAAGAATATCACAATATTCGTTGCACTCATTCCTAATTTGTCCATAACACTGCTGCCCAAACATGCGACCCAAAATAAAGATTGAGAAAAAGAAAAAGAGAATGAGGAACTCAAAGAACGGACCCACCCCGCACCATTCCAAAGATTTTAATTATAATCATATATGTTATTATTATTTTAATAATATGCTCTCTTCTTGTAGATCCTTCTCTTTATAAAACCCTTTTTCACATCTTCTTTCCTCATAATATCAACAGCCTAGAGTACAGAAAACCCTTATTTGCTTCCAACTTGTTCATCGCTAAGCCAAGCTCCACGTTCCAATCACTCCTTAGATTTCCCTACCCAATTTTCAATCAATTTATTCAAACTTAGTTCCTTTTAAAGTCTTGTATATACATATACACACGTGTTGTTATTCTGGTGTGTGTGTGTGTGTGTTACATACTTGTGAATACATAGTTTGTTGTAAAAGTGGATCGGAGGTATGGAAAGGGACCGGTTCCACCGCAAACGTCGGCGGCGGAGAATCCGTCTTGGGACGAGTCTGATGTCACCGCCATGATCTCCTCTCTCAGCCGTGTCATCGAGTATCCAGCAGCCGACGGACAAGAAAGGGCAGACCCGCCGGTCAAACAAGAGCTTGATCAATCGGATCAACTTCAACAAGACCAAGGTAATTAGTTCAATATTTTAATCCATAAATATCTGCTGATAATATGTCTCTAATGACAGCTTAATCGTTTTAGCTAGCTGATGTAACTTTGTTATAATAAGTTAACAAACTAAAGACTTGCTATTAATAGCCCTTTCGGTTTTCTTACTTAACAATTAAATTAGGGAGAAAAAGGAATTTGTATAGGTTAGGTTGATCAAGTTCAATGCATCTGTCATTTAATTTACTTTCCGTAAAGAACTTTCCTTCTGTCTTTGAATTGAACCACCGATCAGCTTACTACGTGTCTATCCTTTCTTTTAATACATCTCGATTTGTTGTCTTTTTTTTCAAAGTATAAATTAGATAATATTTTATTAACTTATGGTTTAATTCGTCAAACATATAGCCTACGTATGGGTTCTTAGTTCTTACCTAACTAGATATATACGAGTAATTTCGACCACGCACGTTCCTTTGCTCGTTTGAAGTTAGTTGTCGTCGATCATTCTCTCTATCAACTTCATAGTTGTCTTTTATCAATGTTTTGGAGTTTTTTTTTTCAGCATGATTAACTTGTTTTTAAGGTGCGTTAAAAGCTAAATGCGTGGTACGACTCATTCCTAAAAGTAGTTAACAAAAATCAAGTCTTAGTTTATTTTTTTATGGGGTGATAGTCACAACATCACATTTATTCTTTGATTGCTAAATAATATTTGTTTGCACATAAACATATCTGAAATTAATCATAAAAATTCACGTATTCTTTTTAGAGAAAAAAACAATTCCATTGATGGCAATTTTTTTTTTTGGGATTAAATCTTATGTTGGTTAGTTTCTGCCCATTTTTTTTAGTTCTTTCTTTATGTGAAATATAAATGTCAATATCCATGAAGATTTGTGGCTCTCTGATTACTTTGCTGGTGTGTGTGACAACTGACAAGAAAAAATAAGTAATAAATACTTGAACAGAGTATATTTATATCTAGGTGGGTTAACTTTAGATAAGAGTTCCAGATGGTTAGATAAAAGTAAATTACAACAAGTTTATGGCCTGCATATCCCGTTTAAACTAAAAGTTAAAAATGTCATTTCGTGATAGGTATAGTTTATTGTAGATTGTGAAAAGTTATATATAGTTGATACTAACTATTATTGTATGCATCATTACGTCGTCCATTTTTGTTTCTTTCAAGTAGTAAACATTAATAAACCAATCTTCTCTTAAAATATTTGCTTGATATAACTAATAATTGAAATAACACGTAGTATCTTATCATGCATGTAGAATTGCACATGCAATAATTTTTGTTTTTGTTTTTTTACATAATTTTCAAGATCAACCAAGAAGAAGACACTATAGAGGCGTAAGACAGCGACCATGGGGCAAATGGGCGGCCGAGATCCGTGACCCGAAGAAAGCAGCCCGTGTCTGGCTCGGAACCTTCGAGACAGCAGAGGAAGCCGCTTTAGCCTATGACCGAGCCGCCCTGAAATTCAAAGGCACCAAGGCTAAACTTAACTTTCCTGAACGCGTCCAAGGCCCTGCGACCACAAGCTATGTCGCATCTCAATCCGGAAACGCTCATGCCTCAAGAGGAGGTAGTGAATTAATGAACTCACCTCCTCCTCGGCTTGGTCCATCTTCTACTACTTCTTCTTCGTTGCCAACGACTTATAACCAGGACATACTTCAATACGCTCAGTTGCTAACGAGTAACAACGACGTTGATTTATCGTACTACACATCGAGTCTCTTCGGCCAGCAGCAACAGCCTTTCTCAACGCCTTCTCCATCTTCTTCTTCCTCGTTAACTTCTCAACAGACGCAGCAGCAGCAACGTGAAGAAGAGAAGAACTATGGTTACCATTATTATAACTATCCAAGAGAATAATCAAATTATTATATTGTCGTCGAATCAGTTGTATAAATCGTTTTCGTTTCATTTTGGATTTCCGTAACTTGCTAATACAGGCGAGGAGGTTGCACCAAAAACATGAATGAAACGAGAGACATGTGTAACATTTTGTTCTCTTTTGTTGATTGTTAGTGAAATTTTGGATTTTCAAAGTTTATACATGCTATTCTCTTTTTTTATACATCCAGGTTCTCCTTTTACTTCCTTTTCAAACACTTCTGATCTTTGTACAATTGTACTCATGATCATCTCTCCACAAGTCTTCACAACATAAATCATCTCTCCTTTTATAACTTTTCTCTATCACGAATCACCTGCAGAATTCATATTTTTTGTGTGTGGTACATCCTAAAAGTCCTATCCAAATAACAAGACACGCATGTTTCTGTAGCTAACTCACCAAAAGACCAAAATAACAAATACGAATTTCATAGCTCGATCACCAAGATAAAACAAAATGAATATGAATCTTTAGGATAAAAATATAGTTTCATATCTCATATAGGTAACGTCTTATATCTGGATCGGATAATGTATAGTTTAATTTCTCATATAGGCAACGCCTTATATCTTCAAACTTGCCTGGATTTGTTACATTCCGTTTACGCGAAAAGTCAAGTATTTGGTTATATTGAATTATGTAGATATATAAGAAAATGAAAGATAAACATTGAGCAAATAAGGTCAAACAACTTTTCTTTTGGTTTAAGTGTGCTCAAACAGTGACATATATGATCACTACGATATCGCAATCACTAATCATTTAAAGAACAAAAAACGTGTCCAAACTGAAATATGAGACTCTTTGTTTTTCGTAAATTTTAATTCTCAAAACCGAGTGTTTTTGGAAGACTAGTGAGAGTTATCTTTCCACATATTCATGTGTCTTCTTTCGAACGCATTTGTGAACATGCATCTATACATAAACCGTTCGATTATAATTATTTGATGTTTTTTTTTTAAAATTAATGATACATGTGAGAATAGGACAAGAGCAAACTTGGTCTTGATCAGATTTAGATCGAGCTTGGCCCACCAAAGATAGTACTTTAAACACCGTGTATGTATCTTTCATTATTTTTGATTGGCCCTTCCTCGTGATCGTCTCAGAACATTTTCAGCATATATTCCACGTCCACATCGTTATACTATTCATTTAATCAATAAATAATATCACATAAATTAATAACATGTTTTGTATACTATTGTTAAACCTGAATAGTTGTTTGATTTCTACTGATAGTTTTGTATACTCTTTTTGGGAAAAGAAGAGATCGTGTTTACATTACCAACAAAAACTGTGAGCTAATACAATTGAGATCTTGGAGAGGTTAATACAATTAAGATAAAAAGGCAGAGCATGGTAGATTAAGGGAATTAGGAAATAACATATGGTTACTTTATTTTCGGGTTGGTCTATGAAATTAAAATATATGGGTGGATTGATAGTTGATAAATGAGATTAGATAAGAATAAAATGATGTAGAAAGATAACAAAAGAGCTTCTCGAGAGTTACGCATGCGCAAAGGCAAAGGGAAAACGGGTCCCATCCCACTTGGTTACGTCAAGTGTCTTATTTTTTGAGGGCCATCTTCCAGATCCCAGGACCCACTCTCTAATCACCTGTCAATCCCAATATAAAAAATCTTACATTAAATTTTCTTTTAAAAAACTTAGGTTTCACTACACGACACAGACATTTATTTTATGATACTACAGTTTTTCACACACACCTGCACTTAAATCTAGTTTGGTGTTGTACTGTGTGATCAATTGATTAAGTTTTCTATCATCTTTTTTTTTTTTTAATATAGTTTTTTTTTTAATATAGTTAATCACTCAAGTAATCCTAAAACTGATGTGCTTAAGTTTGCCATTTTACATGCGATTTTTTTTGTTAGTTCGAGTTTTAACTATTTGACACCAATATTTTGTCCCTAAAATTTTGGAAAATATAATACTTTCAGAAAGTGATATGCCATTTTTAAAGATCATAACATGCACTCAGAAAATTATGGGGAACTAGAGAAGTTGAAAAGGATATATACTGAAGTTCCGAATCTATCTTTATTCGAGAAAGCTATTTTGAAGTTATCCTTTTTTCGATCTTGACTTTGGACGACGTACGGTATCTGTGACAAGATACTTTTAGCAGGCTTTCGGCTTCCAAATTTTCAAATTTTGCGGCTGCTTTGCGTTTATTCCGTCGAGAGTGGAACTCTGCCAGATACAATGATGGTCTTCGCATGCACATGAAGATTTTAACTCAATTTCAATATATATACTCTTATGTACGTGCATCTTTACTGCTTTGTTTATTTTATCTCAATATATATATTTATTAGTTCTTTCCTTAAAGACTAGTAATATAACTTTTTGTTTAACGTACTACTGGCCGGCAAACAAAAAAAAAAGAATTGTTAAACGTATCGTACAAGCGCAAATGGGCCAAGAGAAGATTCTGAGGCCCAAATCCGGTGGAAAGAGCATTATTTGTTACGGTGTAGCAAGTATTTGGTTCGATGGGTTTGATATTCTGATTTGAATGTGGTTTCCATGGATTTAGTAGCTCGTTGTAAATCCGGCAAGCTGAGTCGATCGAGATTAGTTTCCATGGACCATGTAACAAAACATTATATTACTTAACACGACGAAACTAAAAATAACATTCAGAAAATTCATTATTCGTAAGTTTCTTTTAGTAAATTTGATTAGATATACAAGACAAATATAATACTTCTTCATAATAAACTTGTTAGGAAACAAACCACCCATCACATTCAACTCAAAAGCAAAACAATAAACGAATGTACAAAAAGGACAGAGAAAAAAAGAGAATCAATCTCAAAAATACATATCTTCATCAGAAGACGTAAGCCAAGGCAGCGACCAAGGCGGTGGCGATCAGCTGAGGACAAGCGGCGAAAGAAGCAGCGCTTGGAGGCGGTGCTGGTGACGATGCAGGAGTCTTGTGCCCGTCGTGGTGATCATGACCGCCATGTGGCGAGGGAGCCATCGCTGGACCTTTGTGGTGATCATGACCGGCATGTGACTCAGCCACCATGATCAATGCAGCCAAGACAACACAAAGGAAGGCGAAGGCGACCATAGATCTCATCGCGGCCATTGGATTAAGTTATAATGTCTTGTTTTGTGGTTTCGTGCGGGGGTTTGAATTTATAGTGTGAGTTAAGGGTAATCTAATTATTAATTAAAACACAGAGGGATTAATGAAAAGAAGAGCTTAGTTGGGTTATTAAAAAATAAAGTCAACGAGGGAAAATGTGTTCTTGCGAACATGGTGATGTGTCTGAATCTGCTTAGTGGCCAACCATGAATGTGTTTTGCAACAGCTGTATAATTAAGAGAGTGCGAAATGTACTAACACATTCAAACCGAGTACAACAAACTAACACCGCTTAACGGACGTTGATCTAGTGATTCAAAGTCAACGAAACTTAACGGACATTACGGTAGTCGTTGCCTCGTTGGTAGTCTAGTAGAAAAAAACACCCATTTATGATTGGTCAACTGATCGTTATCTAACGGTCGAATTCAACCATTGTACTTGGTTTTGCCGTCGTCATTTTTTAATGTCTAAATCATAATGTTAATTATTAGTTTCCTTAAACAATACTTACTTAACTTTAAGTGTTGGTGTACATGTACGTATAACAAAGACAAAATTCATATTTTGTTGCCAACACGTATAATAGCGATTATATTAACCATTACATATTTACATGTATAGCATTATTATGCCGATCAACACTTGTCTTAGTGTTTTTCTAAGTTACTTGCAATTTCCCATTTTATTTAAATACTACTTGAAATCCCTTTAGTAACTAGTAACAACCTGTAAAATGATAGTTGGAATTTTCTAACAATCGCCGATAGTCAACGTAATTTATAGCGTATTTTAAGTTTTCTTTGTCAATGCTTATACATGAGAAGCAGATTGACCCGACACAAGAAAAGCTTTCTTTTATTAGCCTAAAGTCCAATATGAATTTGTTTAGGATGGCAAGCCCAAAACAAGTACATTGTAAATCAAGTTTATCATCTGAAAAAACAAGAATGTAAGAAGCAGCTTCACTAGACATTTTCGTAAAATTTTATCGCAGGAACACCACATTTCACCATACCAAACTGAAAGGTGAAAAAATTTAATCAAACTGGAATTGTTAGTTTCCGTAATCAACATAGTGAAACAACAATGTCTAAGTAAAAGGGCCAGGTAGATACTACAATGGTACTTGCTTGGATGAGTTAAACTATATCTTTCTATTCTCTGATACAAAAGCTTCTAGATATGGTCTTCCTCAATGTTTCTTAACTATAAACCCATGCCGAAATGCGACTTGGATCTTGATCTGTTTCTGTTTGATAACTTGCTTGAATTTCTAATCTCCTCTTCTTCTTCTTCCAGTTTTTTCCTCCTTGCAGCCTCCTCCTTCTGTCTCTGAATCAGCTCCAGTTCTCTATACCTTTCCTCTTCTTTACGTTGAAGCTCCATTGCTTCTCTCCTCTGAGATTCCTCAACCCTCCTACTATTTTCTTCCAACATCTTATCCAGCTCTTCTCTTTCTCTCCGAGCTTGTTCCTTCAATCAATTTCCCAATATATTATTTTTTCACTTTTAGCAAGTACTCCAAAAACCAGAAATCCCAAACAAACAGAGCAGCAAACATTGAACAAACAACAAGACTTACTTCTTTTCTTCTTGCCTCGTTTAGAGCAGACTCTTTTTCTTTCTTCAGCTGTACCTCCACATCAAGAAACATCTTTTCATACGCTTCCTTTGTCCGCCTTTCTATTTCTGCTTGAACTTCTTCAGTCTTCATCTTTTCCTCCACATTTTTCCTCACTGCTTCCTCGATCCGCTGTGCAGTCTCTTCTTCTAGTCGTTTCAGCTCAGCCTCTTGCTGCAACCTATATTTAGCAGAAAGATTAGACTTTACTTCTGATAACAGTTTCTCACAACTGAGGAAGTATACTAAGAGTAAAATCGAAAAGAAAAAAACATCATTGAGTCAATTACCTTGCCTTCTCTTCCTGTTCTTTCTTCAATTCAATCGCAATTTTGTGCTCGGTGGATGAAGGAGACAATGAACTACTTCTGTCCCTTTTGTGTTGCCTCGGTGTAGGAGATCTACTTTTTCTGTGCCTATAAAAAATAGAGATTTGTTAATATTGTATTGAAGTAGAGCAGCTTCTTCTACACTAGCAGCTAGATATCAAACATTTAATGGCACCAAAGTGAAGTTACAAAGAACAAAGTTTGGCAATTTCTGGATAAAATACTTCTGTACAGATTTCTTGCTAAATGGAACAATTTGTGACATATAACAACGATCTAACCAATAATTCGTTAAACTTGTAAAGCCCTAAACCTCTAATTCCCCAAATCACCATAAGAATTGATATTCGCTACTCTTCAGATGTTGATAAGTTGTAAAGGAAGAAAGATTGTTGCAGACCTTGATGGATAGGGTTCGCGGCTGCGGTCGCGCCTGCTACGACGGGAGCTACGATGAGTGACCGGAGAGCGGGAGTGGCGTCGGCGGTGAGTCGGCGACCTAGATCGTGAGTCGTTTCGAGCCATTCCCACCGGCGATGATTGAGATTGGTCAATCGATTTTCACAAAAGTGATTCTCTCCCTTACGATTCATCGGTTCAGTGTTACGCTAACTCGGAAAGACAAACCGATACAGCAAGTTAAACCGACTTTTATTGCGGTTCAATTAAAACATTTTATCCAAATCAGTTTTTCAATAAATTACAGTACAAAACATCATTTTTAGCCAATTACATTCTCTACTCTTCATGTACTTCTTTGTTGGTTTCAAAAATTTAATGTAATACATCGTTTTAAAAAGGGAAATTACCATAAAACTATAGAATATGGACACAAAATAAAGAAAAAAGAACTTAATCGTAATTTTGTTTAGGTGTGTCAAAAAATTCTGTTATCAATCCAAGTCTCATACAGAATTCCAGGCACATGAAAATTTCGCCACACCACACATTTTGTCTGCTCTCTCAATCTCTCCTTAAAATCTTCAAACGTAGAGAGAGAGAAGCCCGAGATCATATCTACCTCGCCAGAACAGAAGTCTACTCTTCATTCTTTTGTAACTTGTAAGCAATTTCGTCATCCACAAGTAAAAGACTTTGTTTCTAACCTATAAGTAAGCGAGTGCCGAGAGAATTGACGTGTTTGCTTTCTTTTTGTTATTGTTGTTACAGATAATAAAAAAGCAGGAAGCATGTTGCCAAGGTTCGATCCAACAAACCCAAAAGCTTGCTTGTCACTTCTTGAGGATGTAACCACCAACGTAAAGCAGATTCAAGATTCCGTGTTGGAATCGATACTTTCACGTAATGCTCAAACCGAATACCTTAGAGGTTTTCTCAACGGTCAACTCGATAAGCATAGTTTCAAGAAGAACCTACCCATTGTGCACTATGAAGATTATCGGTCTTATATCGATCGTGTCGCTAATGGAGAGCCCTTTGATCTCATTTGTGATCGACCCTTCAGTCTATTCCTGGCCAGGTAACTTCAAAACAATACAAGCTGTTTGAATCCCTATGATAACTAAAACAATATACAAGCTGTTATAAAAGTGTATAACCCAAAATGAGATCAACCACATGAATTTTCTTAATTAATTTCTCTATTTTACTCAAGAAAATATTAGAGAAAAAATATTCATCTATTGTTACAAAACCAGGTGATATTTGAGTATGTTAAACTTCAATAATGTACACTAGTTAGGTTGAAGTATATAATATGTAAAGAGTTCATGACCAAAAAAAAAACAATACGTAAAGACTAAAGAGTTAAAAGGAAGCGACTGTTGTTGCAGCACGGGTACGTCAGGAGGAGTTCCAAAGTTGCTTCCATTGACAGCAGAGGCAATGGAACAGAGGATATTGTTTGCATCTCTCTATGCACCTCTAGTCTTCAAGTAAAGAGTTCCAAAGTCCAACATGTGTCTTGTTTTTTTTTTTTTTTTACAGCTTATTACCAAGAAAAGAGTGAGTAAAGCCTAAACCCTTTGTTGTTACTATTTGCAGGCACATCGAAGGGGTTAGCGAAGGAAAATCTCTCATGTTTTATTTTGTGACCCGAGAAAGCGAGACTGCCTCTGGGTTTCCGGTTAGGTTTATGTTCACTTGTGTTTTGAAAAGCGTGAATCCAACCAACTCTTTTCTTTGGTAAATTAACAAAAGCTTTGGTCCCACGTTACGTTAACTCTTTTTATTAGGGTTTCACACACACAAATTTTTTTTTACAGGGATCGAGTGCAGATAAGCCCGCATGCGATTGCGACTTGTGAAGACACTGCTCAGGGCATGTACTGCCAGTTGCTTTGTGGGCTTCTACAACGAGAAAACGTAGCTCGGCTCGGTGCACCTTTTGCTTCTTCCTTCCTCAAAGTAATCAACTTCTTGGAAGATCACTGGGATGAGTTATGCTCCAACATAAGGACTGGCCAGCTCAGCGACTGGATCACAGAACCCCAATGTGTGTCAGGGATTGGTAAGTTCCTCACCGCTCCAAATCCTGACCTAGCGAGCCTGGTTGAGCAAGAATGTAGTAAAACATCATGGGAGGGAATACTGAGGAGACTATGGCCAAAAGCGAAATGCATTGAAGCCGTCGCTACCGGCTCCATGGCACAGTATACCCCACTGCTGGAATTCTATGGCGGCGGTCTTCCTTTGATTTCATCGTCTTACGGCAGCTCTGAATGTTTCCTTGGTATCAATGTCAGTCCTCTGTCCAAGCCTTGTGATGTGTCGTACACAATCATTCCAAATATGGGCTACTTCGAATTCTTGGAGGTCGAGAAAGACCATCAAGAAGGTTGTGTTGATCCCTCTGCGGTCGTTGATCTAGTCGATGTAAAAATCGGTCATGATTATGAACTTATTATCACGACATTTTCTGGTAAGTTTTTACTTTTGCTCACTCTCTCCATCAAAAAGTTTAAAGAATATTCCAAATTTTGCCTTGTGAATGAATTTTAATTATTAATTGATTAAAGAGAAAATCCTGTATGGTATGTGAAAAGTGCAAACGAAAAAAGATAATTAATAAATATTTTGAAATACAGGTTTGTATAGGTACCGTTTGGGGGACGTTTTACGAGTGACTGGTTTTTACAACAATGCGCCGCAGTTTTATTACGTTAGAAGACAGAAAGTTGTTCTGAGCGTCGACGTGGACAAGACCAACGAAGAAGACCTGCTCAAGGCAGTGACGAACGCGACGCTCTTGCTCAAGCAGCATGACCTGATGCTCATGGACTTCACTAGCCGTGTGGATTCCTCCACGTTCCCAGGACACTATGTGGTCTATTGGGAACTCGGGAGCAAATTCAAGGACGCAAAGATCGAGCCTGACCGCGACGTCTTGGAAGAATGCTGCTTCGCCATTGAGGAGTCTCTGGACTCCGTTTACAGAAAATTAAGAAAGCATGATAAGAACATTGGACCGCTTGAGATTAAGGTTGTTAGGCGTGGCGCTTTCGACGAGCTCATGAATTTTTTCCTGTCTCGAGGCTCTTCTTTGAGTCAGTACAAGACTCCAAGGTTGGTGACGAGTGAAGAAGCTTTGAAGATATTAGATGCGGCGGTTGTTTCCGAGTTTCTTAGCCCGAGAACTCCGTCGTGGGAGCCACGTGAGATGCACACCGGCCGATAAATACGCAGTCACATAATTGTGAGACTTGAGATAACAAATAAATGAAATAATTTAAGAGCAACGAAACCCCGTAAGAAAATATATATATGCATAACTTCGCTATATATATTTTAAGATTTGTGGATCCTTTTTTTTATTAATCACATCAGAGAGACAATTACGTACTCGTTATCATGTATATAAGTCTCTATTACATTACAATCGTCACGTAATGATCTATAGATATCTTTTATGTGCCTAGAAAAATGGAGACCAGTTCTAATCAAGATGTGTTGAACTAGGGCAGCTTCTTCTACACTAAATATCGAACGAGTTTTATCTGAGGACACTAATTAAAGTGAAAGCGCCAAAAAGTAAATTTAAATTACAAATCTGTATTTTTATTGTAACGCCCCGAGCAATGAGCAAGATAGTTGACATCACGTCCGTACGTAATTATCATTTATTTTATTTATTGGTGAATATTATTTAAAATTTAAAATAAAGCTTAATTTGTTTTTGTTAATTTTGGAAAAGAAATTATAACTTGTTCAACCGGTCAAAGAATCCTTCTGAAAATGGGGGATATCAGTTTGTTTCTGTTTGCGTTGTTTCAAATGGCACAAAAAGTCAAAAAGACTTTCAGTGTCATTTTCCATAAAAGCTTATCATCTCCTCGTTGTGCTCGCCATAGGTGTATAGATTGATATTTTCTTCTGATCTTTCAAAAAAGAAAAAGAAATCGTCTTTGTTATTAAATCCCCTTTCTGGAAAATGGAAAAAAGGAAAAGATCTGTTGTTGCTCAGAAAAATCAGGAAAAAAAAATCTGCTCTCAATCGAAACATATCCAGAAATTTCGACACATTTCGCCACACCACATATTTTTGTCTACTTCCTCCAATCTATCCTCCAGAGAGAGAGAAGCCAGATCTCATTCACCTCGACAGAACAGAGGTTTTGCTCTTCCCTCTTTTGTAAGCAAGTGAGAAGACTTTTTGCTTTTGACCTATAAGCGAGAGAATTAGACTATAAAAAGCAGCAAGCAAGCATGTTGCCGAAGTTCGATCCAACAGACCCAAAAGCTTGCTTGGCACTTCTTGAGGATGTGACCACTAACGCAAAGCAGATTCAAGATTCCGTGTTGGAAGCAATACTCTCACGTAATGCTCAAACCGAGTATCTTAAAGGTTTCCTCAACGGTCAAGTCGATAAGCAGAGCTTCAAGAAGAACGTACCAGTTGTGACCTACGAGGATATCGCTCTTATATCGATCGTATCGCTAATGGAGAGCCCTCTGACCTCATCTGTGATCGACCCATCACTGTTCTCTTGTCCAGGTACCTTTGAGTCTCGAGATCTCTACAGCTTTTCATGTTGTGTAGTATTGTAAAGCTAAATGTAAGATTCAGTGTATGGTGAATTGAAGGAAGCGAGTGTTTTTGCAGCTCAGGTACATCAGGAGGAGTTCCAAAGTTGATTCCTTTGACAGCAGAGGACTTGGAACAGAGGCTACTGTTTTCATCTCTCTATGCACCTCTGCTTTACAAGTAAGAGTTCCAAACTCCAAGAAGTATCTTGTTTTGTTGGTACCAAAGTGAAAAAGTCAAAAACCCGTAGTGTTACTGTCTGCAGGCACATAGAAGGGCTTAGTGAAGGGAAGTCTCTCATGTTTTACTTTGTGACTCGAGAAGGCGAGACTGCATCAGGCTTGATGGTCAGGACTATGGTAACAACTGTTTTGAAAAGCCTGAATCAGTCCAATTCATTTATTTGGTAAATCATTAAAACCTTTGCTCATATTATATACTTTCTGCTAGTGTTTTCACCAAAGCGCCCGACCAATCTTCTTGGTGCTGCTATACTGTTTCTTTATTGTGTTTTATATGATTTACAGGGATCGAATGCAGATAAGCCCGCATACGATTTCGACTTGTGAGACATTACACAGAGCATGTACTGCCAACTTGCTTTGTGGGCTTGTACAACGAGAAAACGTAGCTCGCCTTGGTGCAACCTTTGCTTCTTCTTTCCTCAAAGTAATCAAGTTCTTGGAAGATCACTGGGATGAGTTATGCTCCAACATAAGGACTGGCCGGCTCAGCGACTGGATCACAGACCCCCATTGTGTTTCAGGGATGGGTAAGTTCCTCACCACTCCAAATCCAGAGCTAGCGAGCCTAATCGAGCAAGAATGCAAGAAAACATCATGGGAGGCAATAGTGAGGAGACTATGGCCAAATGCAAAATGCATCGAAGCCATTGTGACCGGCTCCATGGCACAGTACATTCCAATGCTGGAATTCTACGGCGGTGGTCTTCCTATAATTTCAACGCTTTACGGCAGCTCTGAATGTTTCCTTGGTTTCAATGTCAATCCTTTGTCCAAGCCTTGTGATGTGTCTTACACTGTCATTCCAAGTACGGCATACTTCGAGTTCTTAGAGGTCGACAAAGAACATCAAGAGGCTGGTCATGATCCAACAAAGAAGCCTGCGGTGATCGATCTTGTGGATGTTCAAGTTGGCAATGATTATGAACCTGTTGTCACAACGTTTTCTGGTAAGTCTTTACTTGAAAAAATAAATGTCTTATTCAAATATTTTGCAAAGTCTTCGTTAATCATTGAAAACGATTAAAGACAAAACAATTGTTTTCTTTCGTGTGTGTGAAAAATGATGTTTGTATATATGATTTTAACAGGTTTGTATAGGTACCGTTTGGGGGATGTTTTGAGAGTGACTGGTTTCTACAACAATGCGCCACAATTTCGATTTGTGGGAAGACAGAAAGTGATTCTGAGCATCGACATGGACAAGACCTACGAAGAAGACCTCCTCAAGGCAGTGACAAACGCGAAGCTCTTGCTCGAGCCACATGGCCTAATACTCGTAGATTTCACTAGCCTTGTGGATTCCTCCTCGTTTCCAGGACACTACGTGCTCTACTGGGAACTCGGTAGCAAATTCAAGGACGCAAAGCTCGAGCCTGACCCGGACGTCTTGGAAGATTGCTGCTTCACCGTCGAGGAGTCTCTCGACGCTGTTTACAGAAAAGGACGAAAGAATGATAAGAACATTGGACCGCTTGAGATTAGGGTTGTTAGGCGTGGAGCTTTCGACGAGCTCATGAATTTCTTCTTGTCTCGTGGCTCGTCCGTGAGTCAGTACAAGACGCCAAGGTCAGTGACGAGTGAAGAAGCCTTGAAGATATTGGAGGCTACGGTTGTTTCCAAGTTTGTTAGCCGGAAAACTCCGTCGTGGGAGCTGCATGAGCTGCATTCCACCAGATAAAAGTAAAACCGCCGTTACACCATAATGTGTGAGACACAGTTGAGGCAAGAGGGGAAAAACCAGAACTCCGTAACAAATATGTTATCGAATATACGTCCATTACAAAGATTTATAGTCATGTTAATGGATTCAACACGAAACAACTTTGCAATAAATTTTAAATCGACATTTGTTGTGGAAGTAAAAACGAGATTAGTAGTTTAGTACAACTTTAATGTACGATGGGCCCGGTTGGACTTTGCCACGTCATGTGACCACGTCATCACGTGAGAGACTGGCTCTGCCACGCCAATTTTGACACGTGGTGAAATATTATTGGGTGAAAGGAAATCAGCCGGTTGCTTTTCACATTGGATCTCACTTTTACACGGGAAAATTATCTTTCGTGATTTGCAGTTTTGCACCCAAAAAAAAGATTATCTTCCTGATTTGCCAAGTTGAATGCAAATAATCTAATGTTTAAGCTTCTACACGATTATTATTATTTTATAACGCTTATGATCTAACAAAAGCTCACTTTTTTTTTTGTTGTTGTCCGCAACAGAAACTCACATTATTAAAAGATGCTATAAATGGGATATCAATTTGCAACATGCGAACATCGTGCAAAATCTAAAACTCCTTCTGCACCACATAACTTCTGACGCGGTCATACCCCACAATGTTTAAGTTTGTGTTTTGCAATAAAGATGAGTGTATATCGCTCAAAAATTTAGAGAATGGGACAAAAAGATCGCTCGAGGTGGAGGACAAAAGTCCTTTTCAGTGTGGTTTTCTCCATAAAAGCTTATTATCTACGCGTAGTGCTCATCACCATAAGTTATTTAGACTTTTCTTCGCATCCTTCAAAAAAAGAAAAAAATCGTATATCCTTTGCTAAATGCAATTGCCGACAGAAAACTAAAAAACAAGAAAAACCTTTTCCGAAAATGGAAAAAGTAAAAAAGAATCAGCTAGCTGTCGTAAACTCATGTATAAAATGTCGGCACATTTTGGCCATACCACACATCATTTGTCTACTTTCTCCAAGTCTCTACTAAAAAAAGCAGCAAGCATGTTGCCAAAGCTCGATCCAACAAACCCAAAAGCTTGCTTGTCACTTCTTGAGGATGTGACCACTAACGCAATGCAGGTCCAAGATTCCGTTTTGGAAGCAATACTCTCACGTAATGCTCAAACCGAGTATCTTAAAGGTTTGCTCAACGGTCAACTCGATAAGCAAAGTTTCAAGAAGAACGTACCAGTTGTGACCTACGAAGATTATCGCCCTTATATAGATCGTATCGCTAATGGCGAGCCCTATGATCTAATCTGTGATCGACCCTTCATGGTTCTCTTGGCCAGGTATCTTTAAGTCTTGAAATCTCTACAGCTTGAAATGATAACTAAAACCATTTTAAAGCTTTAGGTGTTGTATAAATGGAAGATTCATCAATAAGTGTATGTTAAACTGTAGTATCGAAATATGATAGAGAGTTAAGGAAGCGACTGTTTTTGCAGCTCGGGTACTTCATCAGGAGTTCCAAAGTTGATTCCATTGACAGCAGAGGAATTTGAACAGAGGCTGTTGTTTTCATATCTCTATGCACCTCTACCCTACAAGTAAGTGTTCCAAACTCGTAAGATGTATCTTGTTTTGACAATACCTGAAACACAAAAATAAAAACCTCTAGTTGTTACTGTCTGCAGGCACATAGAAGGGCTTCGTGAAGGGAAAACTCTCATGTTTTACTTCGCGGCTCGAGAAACCGAGACGGCATCAAGCTTGATGGTCAGGACTATGGTAACTTGCGTTTTGAGAACCGTAAATCAGTCTCATTGGTAAATCATTAAAACCTCTGCTCCCACAAGCTCCTTGGTGTTGCTCTACTGTTTCTTTACTGTGTGTTTTATATGATTTACAGGGATCGAATGCAGATAAGCCCGCTTGCGATTTCGACTTGTGAGGACAATACTCAGGGCATGTACTGCCATTTGCTTTGTGGGCTTCTACAACGAGAAGACGTAGCTCGCCTTGCTGCACCTTTTGCTTCTTCTGTCCTCAGAGTAATCAAGTACTTGGAAAATCATTGGAATGAGTTATGCTCCAACATAAAGACTGGCCAGCTCAGCGACTGGATCACGGACGCTCAATGTGTTTCAGTGATCAGTAAGCTCCTCACCGCTCCAAATCCAGAACTAGCGAGCCTGATCGAGCAAGAATGCAAGAAAACATCATGGGAGGGAATAGTGAAGAGACTCTGGCCAAATGCGAAATGCATCGACACCATTGTGACCGGCTCCATGGCACAGTACGTTCCAGCGCTGGAATTCTACGCCGGTGGTGTTCCCCTACTTTCAATGTTTTACGGCAGCTCTGAATGCTACATTGGTTTCAACGCCAATCCTCTGTCCAAGCCTTGTGATGTGTCTTACACTGTCAATCCAAGCATGGCATACTTCGAGTTCTTAGAGGTCGAGAAAGACCATCAAGAAGCTGGTAATGATCCTACAAAGAAGCCTGCGGTGGTTGATCTTGTGGATGTTAAAATTGGCAATGATTATGAACTTGTTGTCACAACGTTTTGTGGTAAGTCTTTACTTGAAAAAATAAATGCCGATTTAAGATAGAGTGCAAAGTCTTTGTTAGTGAAAACGATTAAAGACAAAATAATTGTTTTCCAAAAAAAATGTTGTTTCTCACAAGGTGTAACGATGCTATATGATATTTATAGGTTTGTATAGGTACCGTTTGGGGGATGTTTTACGAGTGACTGGTTTCTACAACAAGTCGCCACAATTTCGATTCGTGGGAAGACAGAAAGTGATTCTGAGCATCGACGCGGACAAGACCTACGAAGAAGACCTCCTCAAGGCAGTGGCAAACGGAAAGCTCTTACTCGAGCCACATAACCTAATGCTCGTAGATTTCACTAGCCGTCCGGATTACTCCTCGGTTCCAGGACACTACGTGCTCTATTGGGAACTCGGGAGAAAAGTCAAGGACGCAAAGCTCGAGCCCGACCCCGATGTTATGGAAGAATGCTGCTTCGCCGTTGAGGAGTCTCTCGACTCTGTGTACAGAAGATTTAGGAAAAACGACAAGAGCGTTGGACCGCTTGAGATTAAGGTTGTTAGGCCTGGCGCTTTCGACGAGCTCATGAATTTCTTCGTGGATCGAGGCTCTTCCGTGAGTCAGTACAAGACGCCAAGGTCGGTGACTAATGAAGAAGCTTTGAAGATATTGGATGCGGCGGTTGTTTCCAACTTTTTTAGCCAGAAAATTCCGTCGTGGGAGCTAAAGGAGCTGCATTCCACCATATAATCAAAACCGCCTTATTACTTAAGTATGTGAGACTCGAGGCAGAGGGGAATCTATGGACCCAAAAACATTTTCACTACTTCATCTTACCTTGTGTAATCGAATAATATCTTGTTTTGGAAATAATATGTATTCGAATAATAATATCTTGTTTTGGAAGTAAAAACAAGATCAACAAGCAAGGTCGATGTCCATTCACCAAAAAAAAAAAGCAAGGTCGATGTCCCGTCCACGTCACGTGGCCACGTCGTTCCCATGCCAATTTTGACACGTGGTTAAATATTACTGGTTAAAAGGAAAACAGCAACTGTTTTTCACACTGGATCTCACTTTTACACGGAATACAGCGATTCCGACTTGTGCGCCACCGCAAGCCTCCAGCGAATCGAAAACCCGGCGAGCTTCTACAAGTCATCGGTGATGATATTCTTCGATTTTCGGACGCCTACTTCGAAATCTTTCTTGCATTCTGCTCTCTCCAATCAACCCAAGCTAATTGATCATCCTTCTTATCCGATTTCTCTTCCGAGTTTTTTTTCCCTTTATGCTCCGATTATAATCGGATGTTACAGTGTCTTTCTAGTGCTCTCTCTCCTTTTAATTCTCCAATCTGGAAAGATTTTTAATCGATTTCCCTAATCGCTCTTGCTCTTCCTTGACGGGGCAGTTAGATATGACTTTGAGTTAAGTTTCTCTAGAGTAGGAAGAATGGTGCCGTTGATTGCTTGTTTTGGAGTGGATTCAGCAGAAGCGACATATTTCACTTTCCGGCGAAGGGTCTTCTTCCAGCTCATCATTGGTTTATTAAATATGTTTGATTTTTCTTCTCATCCTTCAAAAGAAATTTCGTTTACTATTCTTCGTGAAAATCCAGTTTTCGAAAAAATTGAGAGAATAAAATAACAATATCTGTTGTCAATCGAGAGAAGCATCCAGATGTTTTCGGCACATGTCGCCACCAGCCACGTCTTTTTGTCTACTTTCTCCATTTTCTCTTTCAAAGTCTTTTTGTCTACTATTCTTCCATTTTCATCGAAAGATCATTCACTTCGCCAGAACAAAGGTTTTGCTTGTCAAAGGAAGCATGTTGCCAAAGTTCGATCCAACAGAGCCAAAAGCTTGCTTGTCAGTTCTTGAGGATGTGACCAGTAACGCAAAGCAGATTCAAGACTCTGTGTTGGAAGCAATACTTTCACGTAATGCTCAAACAGAGTATCTTAAAGGTTTCCTCGACGGTCAAGTCGATAAGCAGAGCTTCAAGAAGAACGTACCAGTTGTGACCTACGAAGATTATCGCTCTTATATCGATCGTATCGCTATTGGCGAGTCCTCTGATCTCATCTGTGATCGACCCATCATTGCTCTCCTGTCCAGGTACCTTTCAGATCTCGAAATCTCTACAGCTTTTTCCCTGCTATGTGTATCTGTGATAACTACAACCATTTCAAAGCTTTTGGTGCTGTAAAGTTATATGCAAGATTTGGACATGCGTTTGTTAATCTTCAATCAATTAAATAAATTAAAGTGTAGAATATGTAAAGAGTTGAGGAAGCGAACTGTTTTAATTGTTTTTACAGCTCAGGTACGTCAGGAGGAGTGCCAAAGTTGATTCCTTTGACAGCAGAGGAGTTGGAACAGAGGATATTGTTTGCATCTCTCTATGCACCACTACTCTACAAGTAAGAGTTCCAAAATCCAAGCTGAGTCTTGTTTATTGAAACGGAAAAGAGAAAGTGAAAGAAACAAACCCATTCTTGTTACTGTTTGCAGGCACATAGAAGGGCTTAGCGAAGGGAAAACTCTCAAGTTTTATTTCGTGAGCCGAGAAGGCGAGACTGCATCAGGCTTGATGGTCAGGACTATGATCACTTGTTTTCTGAAAAGCCTTAATCCAACCAACTCCCTTATTTGGTAAATCTATAAAATATTTGCTCTCATTAGTACATTACTTTATATCTTCATGTGGTTTTATATGATTAACAGGGACAAAATACAGATAAGCCCGTATTCGATTTCGACTTGTTCAGACACTACTCAGAGCATGTACTGCCAATTGCTCTGTGGGCTTGTACAGCGAGAAAGTGTAACTTGCCTTGGTGCGCCTTTTGCTTCTTCCTTCCTCAAAGTAATCAAGTTCTTGGAAGATCACTGGGATGAGTTATGCTCAAATATAAGGACTGGCCGGCTCAGCGACTGGATCACGGACGCTCAATGTGTTTCAGGGATGGGTAAGTTCCTCACCGCTCCAAATCCAGAACTAGCGAGCCTGATCGAGCAAGAATGCAGTAAATCATCATGGGAGGCAATAGTCAGGAGGTTATGGCCAAATGCTAAATGCATCGAAGCCATCGTGACTGGCTCCATGGCACAGTACATTCCAATGCTCGAATTCTACGGCGGAGGTCTTCCTTTGATTTCAATGTTTTACGGCGGTTCTGAATGTTTCTTTGGTTTCAATGTCAATCCTTTGTCCAAGCCTTGTGATGTTTCGTACACTGTCGTTCCAAGTATGGGGTACATCGAGTTCTTAGAGGTGGACAAAGACCATCAAGAAGCTGGTCATGATCCCACAAAGAAGCCTGTGGTCGTCGATCTTGTGGATGTTCAAGTTGGCAATGATTATGAACCTGTTGTCACAACGTTTTCTGGTAAGTCTTTACTTGAAACGTTAAATGTCAATTTAAATTTATTGCAAAGACTTAGTTAGCGAAAATGAATCCAGACAAAATAGACATTTTAATTGTTTTCTTTTGAGTGTGTCAAGAATATGTATATGTTGTTTCTCACAAGATGTTTGCTTATATTATTTTAACAGGTTTGTATAGGTACCGTTTGGGAGACGTTTTAAGAGTGACTGGTTTCTACAACAGTGCGCCACAATTTCAATTCGTGGGA